GACCCACGTAGTGGGAGTCACTTCCCAGCTTGACTGGCACACCGACCTGCTAGAGCGGATAACTCGTCTACAGGGCCTCCTGCCAAATGATGAGTCGGGGCCTTCGACCCAGTGAGAGGTAGCCGACGAGTGAGACATGTGGCATTGCTAATTCCTCCCCCCCCCCCACTTCTCCACTTGGAACTCTGAACTCTTTTATTTTATTTTCTTTATTTTATTTTGTATGTGTGAACAACTACTACTATCGTATTGTTATGTGTAATAACCTTGCCTCGAGCGAGTATGTGTTGTGTTTGTGTGTGTATTTTTTTTGTCTTCTCCTTGAAGCTCAAATCTCCCACCCCATAAAAATGTCAACTTTCACTCACCAAGAAATGCGGTAACATCGTTCTACCCCTATCTTACGCCATTGAGGGCAATGTCGAACTTAAGTGTGGCGGGGGGGGGGGGTAGTTTATTATTATATTTGTGCGAGTGATTGATGCTTGGAGCCTTGATGTATGCCCAAATTTGAAAATTTTGAGGGTTCCAAGCAATGTTTGCATTATCAAAGTAGCCGGTTTGTAGGAGAATCTCGTGTTTATTGACATTGACCTTGAATTGTTGCATGTGATCGATTGTATCCTATGATGATGACTAAGAGGTGCATTATGATAGTGTAAAGGTTTAGTTCACATGTGTGCAAAATGAATGGATGTCTTGACTCGATTACTTGTTGATTACAATTGCCATGCATTGTGTTTTGTGAATTGGAATAGATGATTGGGTGACTAGGTAGCAATGTGAGTTTTGAGTCGATCGTTTTCTTCTTGTGTGCTTAGATCCCTCTTACCATGGCGAGTAACATCACAGTTGTCACTAGTGAGTATGATGGAGGCATAGGATTAGTCCATGCCCAAATGTTTTATCCCCTAGTCAACCATTTTGAGCCTTATGACTTTGGGGGTCGTTCTCTTGTAGGAGCTTAATGGTGTTTGATAGAACGATACCCCATCCTTTCTTTGTGTCTATACGTGAGTCGTCCTTGTGTCCCGGGGCTCTCGTTTTTTAGTTCCATTGAGGTTCTACATAGGAGAATTGTGTGCGTTTCTTGCTAGGAATGAAAGAGAAAAGATAAGTGTTGGAGTAAGTTCTTAAAAGAGAACATTGGTTGTTCAAGGTAACATGTCAAGTGTTTTACTCTCTAGTACCCTGTCAAAAAGAAAAGAAAAGAGAAAAAGAAAGAAAAGGAAAGTAGAAAGGAAAAGAATAAAAAAAGAGATAATAAAACGGGGTATATAAAGTAGAGAGTGCCACAAAAATCAAAGAGTATGCTTTAGGAGGGGTTTCTTGGCATTCAAGCCATTGAAACCCTCACATTTTTGTTGAACTGCTTCACTACCAAGTCGAAATGTGATAGCAAGAGTAGAACGAGGAAGAGCGCTTAAATGTAGTTCATGAGGGTGATAGTTTGGAAGGGAGAAGCAAGGTTTTTGGTCGATGCTAGTGGCCATTGTTTGTAGGGAAGGTTCTTAGTCAAAACCATAGAACCTTTGGGTTTAGGGTGAATATGTAGGACCTCATGTTGTGTTTTCCACCCCCCAAAAAGCTTTTCCCCCATGTCTAAGACAATTGCCAGTCATTTGAACCCGTGTCTAAGACCTCCGGACAAGCTAGTGATGACAACCGTCCCGTGAACTCTAACATTTAGAAGTTGCCGCTGTGGTGAAGAGATGATAGGGCCGAGTGTTGATGATTGTGCACATTCTTTGCACCAAAAAGGTCCCGACCCCACTGGTCAAGAGAGTGAGTGATTAATTCTTGCTTTGCATGTCATATCATACCCCGGTGAGGACCTTCGTTGCCCATTCATTTTTTCCTTGGACTTGAATGTTATGCATGGTTAGTTGTGGTTGATAAGTGATTTTGTTGAGACTTACATTGATTCATGAACAAGGTGAGAAATTTTCGTTTTCCCATTTTTGGTGACCTCGAATGTCATTTGTGGTGGATGTGGTTATTGCTTGCAACGGTTCATGTGTTAATTGCCAATAGCCATTGATATTCGCCACTTTGTGCCCTTTGATTTGTCCCCAAATCATTTGGTTAGATTGAGATATTACCTTGTGTGAAATGGTTTGCTTGGGGACAAGCAAACGTCTAAGTGTGGGGAGTGATTCAAGCCTAATTGTACACTTTATATCCCCATTTATCTTTGACGTTTGTGGAAATTGATCTACAAAAGGGGTGGTTTTACGCTAGGTCTCTTGTGTTTCAATGTGTTTCAGAGTCCAACAGGTGAAACCAACACCAAAGTTGAAAGTTGGAAGAAAAGGAGCAAAGACCGGGCATAGAGGAGGATTCAGCCACAGTTCACGATCAAACATTGGAGTTTACGGTTGCCAGGACCGTGAATTGGAACCACAAACCGTGAATCGCAAAGCGTCCAGAGGGGTTTCAGAGGTTACTGACGCCAAGGCAGTTCACGATCGCTAAGACCGTGAACTAGAACCATGGACCGTGAACCCCGGAAGTGAAGCGACACATTTTGATCCAAGTTCATAGTGTTCATGGACACGACCTGATGTTCACGACTGCGAACTGGGTGCGATCTGAGTATAAATAGAGAGCTGAAAGAAACAAGAAGGGGGAGCCTAAAGTGAGAGAAACCTTCTTCTTCTTGAAACCCTAGAGAGAGAAAGTCACGAACCAAGAGGGAGAAGAGGCTAGGGTTTTCTCCAAGTGAAGATTTTGGAAGTTCCTCTTCTTTAGAGGATCTCTACAAGCACAAGGAGAGTTAGAGGCATCACAATGATTAGGGGTGGAAATCAGTACGGTATCGGTATCTCAATACCAATTATCGAAATCCTGAATATCGAATATATATCCTAAAAACAATCCCAATCCCAATCCCTAAATAATTTCGGTATCCCAATCCCAATCCATAAATATTTTGGTATGCCAATCGCTACTTCGGTATCCCAATATATATTATCAAATAGGAAATTAATTACCTTTGCAAATAATAATTAAATATGTAAAGTGGATTTGATTGTTTACTTTATGGCAAAGAGACTAAGCAAAGAGTCCTGAGTTCACCTAGAGATAGGATATGAAAAAGGAAAATTGATGAGTGGTGACATATCAAATTCTTGTCATTGGTAATCTTTATTTAAACGAAGTGGTGGTTGAAAGACGATTAATATTAGTGTTTGTTTTTAGGTGTTATAAAAATAACAAGAGATTAGGTGAGAGACAAGAGTGACTTAAACTGGAAATTCAAAATTGAATTGGATGAAGGCTTCTAAGTTGTGAAAGAGTGAGGAATGACGAAAGGTTGTGTGCTATATTTCATTAATTTTTAATTATCGGTATTTCTTGGTATTCAGTATATACCGATCTCAATTCCGTAATCCCTAATACCAAATAACACCCCAAAATGAATCTCAATCCCTAAAAAATAAACGGTATTCGGTAATCCCAAATAGTGATAAATTTAGTACGGTATTCGGTATATCCCAAATACCAGTACCAAACTTCCAGCCCAAACAATGATGGTTTCTTTCTTCCTCTTTTGTGTTATTCTTTTGTCTAGCATGGAGTAGTTTCCCTTTTCACTTGGGTGTTGTAGAACCCTAACTACTATCATGTAATTGATTGTGTGGATTGAATGATTGTGTGATGGCGGTGTTTAATTTAAGAATTGAGGTATTTTTCATGGTGATTGTGCATTGTGTGTGTTTGGCAATCTATTGTGTTATTCTAACCTAGATTAGAGAGAAGCCCCCTTATCTTAAGAGGCTCAAAATTTAGTTGGGATTTTTTAGGCATTCCATGCCTCCTAACTAGGTTAATGAAGGGAAAACCTCTACTTGAATTGGACACATAGGTTAATTGTGATTATGTCGTCCAAGCCTTGGTTTGAGGGAGAAGATAAGTCAACCCTCAATTGCTTGCGCCAAGAGGGATACAATTGTAGCCTCTAATGATTACCTTGGCCTAGCATATGAGATGATGGTTTCTAACCATTGTTGCACCTCCTACGGGTCACAATTTCCTTGTCACACACCGGTTCATTCGTCCCACGGTACATGGTAGTTAGTTAGGGGGAAGCAACACCCGAGTGAAGCTTCTCACCAAGAGTTTTCCACCCATTTACTTTTCAAGTCTTGCTTTCAAATCGTAGATTGTAGAGATTTCAACAAACAACAATCCGCTAGATAATGTTTCAAACAATCAAAGTAGGGGTACATGGGCCGGCCCGGGTTGATATTTAAACATACTTTCCCTATATTGCACCCATCTAAGATTTATACTTGGGCTTTAGGTGGGATTTTACCTGTCATAAGTGGAACCAATGAGCAAAATGCTAACCATTTCTTCTTGGGATATCTTGAGCATGGGTGCTTGCAAGATGTAACAAAGCTCAGTAGCTTGGCGACATATGCTAAAACTGGGATGCTTCCTCTCCAATTGTTGATAAAGAGTAATACAGTATGCATGCCTGTTATGAGCTTCATACGCCATAGCCACCCATATTTGAATCTGGAAAACAATATATAAAAAGCAAGAGCAAAGATTAAAAGATCCATCAAGAAACTCAATGGCCCTTCTATACATTCCTCTCCCATAAGATTTTTTCCCTAATTCAAACATCACCTAAGCCGTCTGTCTCCTCTCTGCCTGCTCCTGAGCCACCTGCTCTCACAGTTTCACCATACCCATCACTCACCAAAAAATCCTACACATACCCTTTTCCCCAATTTTGAAGCACCAATCAAATAAAGAACTCCATGCAAACCCTAAAGTGCGAGGAAAGGGAATGAATTGATGACTCTTCCTTCTTCACCACTTTCAAGTTCCTTTATGACTCTCAGCCTCTTCTCTTCCTCCGTCTCTTCTCTCCCTTCTTCACCACTTTCACTTATTTATTCTTCCGCATGTCTCTGCAACTCCTCAGCCTTCTTCTCCAATTCTCTCATCTCTTTGATTTGCTTTACTCTTTTCCTTATCTCCTTCTCCTAATCGAATGGATTCTCTTCTCCCTCCTCGCCGTTCCCGTTCTCGTTTTCTTCGCCGCTATCGAAATCCACCCCGTTCACCTTCGAATTCTCCTCCCCACGGACCATGAATCTCTGATTCCTCACTTCCCCTTCCGACTCGAAGCCCTTCCCGGCCAGAGAAGAAGCATGGACATTGCTAGAACCGGTGAGATGGTGAAGTTGCCGCCTCGACAAGCTCAATAGCAGATCGAGAGCCACTAGACGTGTTTCCCTTTTGGGAAGTATGATGATCGGTGGCATCGTCACGTCTAGAAGAAGCGCTAAGTTTCCAACCACCGCCATGGTTGCTGCCGATTCAGAGATAGAAGACTGACTGATAGAGGAAGCAAACGAGAAACGAAACAGAGTACACAAATGATAGCAGAGATATTTTCTTCAAATGAAGTGGGATTTAAGCACGACAAACACTCAAATATCCCTTCTGTTAGTTCGAAATCAAAGCGGACTTAGAAATTATGGGGTATATTTTTTTGGAAGTGGAAAAAGAACGTGGCGCGCTTGCTAAGAAACACGTGTCTGGAAACGACTAACTATATCAACCCAATACTCGGAAATAATTTCATACGACGTCGTTTCACAGGCTCGCGTGTCGTCGGCCACTGACTGCATCGCCGTCGACAACCAACAACTTAGGTCACCCAGTTCATCTCTGCTGCCTCCGCGATCCCGCTCATAAACGCCGAAACGCGATTTCTGCCAAATTCACGAGAAATTCATGCATTATTTTCCAAAATAGTGCGGTTTATTATTCGGGGAGCGGAAACTGGATCTTGGAGGAAAGAATTGTCTGGGTATCAGCTTTTGTGGCCGCTAGCGCTTCCCTCTTGCGACAAATTCAGCTCGGGAGTACAGGAATCGAGATCGGGTGTTTTATCTTCCAAATTCCAAACGTCTTCTTCAAAGGGAAGGCACTAGCTGAGTATCCCATACGCAGAAAGAACGAGATTAGATGAAAGGGGATGGAAATTTTCCTCTAATGGGTAAAGCCAGCAGATAAAAATACATAGAGAAGGAATTAGGGAGCCGACGAGTGCAGGACTGTTGGCTTCGACTTTGAACGCTTTGGAAATTTGTGCAATTTTTTTGGTGGAAAACTAGTGAACTACGAGAGTAGGTATTAAAGTAGGGAAATGGAAAGAGAAGTACAAAACAGAGAGATTGAAATGGCGGTGGAGTAGGGGAATAGAGAAAAGGGGAATAGACTATAGAGAAAAGATAGTGCTAGGGTTAATTGTGTGTATCTTCGCGTGGGTGCTAACCAATTCGCCACCATTTGTTATCAATTGATTATAATAATAGTGAGGAAAATATTCATTTTCTAATTTCTACCAATAAAAAAAATATTATTTACTATTCAAAACATTCACTCGTTCAGAATTATCTAGAAGGTATATTTTTTTTTATGAATGGGTGAGTTTATTTCATCAATACAATCTATACAATCAGCAACTCTAAGCACAATATTTTATCTATACAATCTTTAAACAAAACCAAAGTACAAGAGACAGATCCTACAGCTACCTTCTACCGCCCTTAGATCCTCCTTGTTATCGCAATTGCTGGACATCCAGGGATTCAGCGAATTTTGGATCACCAACAGCCTTCGCTCTCGTAACTCCCTGCAACTTAGTAACCAAACCTGCAGCTGCCAGCTGATTACCCCCATACAACCTGCGACATCTCTCTCGCCATAGTTCGCTCAGCACTAGACACAATAAGACTCTATCAACTAAACACTTATGTAGCTTCTGAATCGCAAAATCAACAGCATATTGCAAGGTAGCAGGTAGAGGAACATGACAAGTTGTTGGAAAAGAAGACCTCCACACTTCCTGTACATACACACATTGAAAGAAAATATTATCTCTTGTCTTAGGCAGCTGTTGACACAGCGGGCAAGTGTTGCAAACCTCTGGATTCCAACTGATTATCTTATCCAGAGTATTAATCTTCCCCAGTAAAATCAAGCGAGCAATGACCGAGTCCTTTGGAATGCCTCCTTTCCAACCCGGTTTGGACCATGCCACAGGAGTTCCTCGAGGTATAATACTCTGTCATATTTTGCTGGTCTGAAACCTTGTCATCGGTTCTCCCTACCATTCCACTCCTCTATTCGTTTTATATAGTTTCCCCTCAAAGCTGTCACGCAACTTGAGGATCTTATTCCATACCCATGACCGTTTTGTTTTAACTTCCCCGATGCTCAGATTACGGAGCCTGTACTCCTTTACCCATACAATCCATAGCGTTTCCTGATCAGAAAGCAGTCCCCAAAGATGTTTGGCCAAATAGGCTTTGTTCCAGGAATACAAGTCTATAAACCCCATACCCCCTTCTGCACGAGGCAAAGCAACTATCTTCCATTGTACTTTTGCCCTCTTCTTCTTCTTCTCAAAATCAGTCCAAAGGAACTAGAAACAAAGCTTTTCAATTTCTGTTATAACTTTCTTAGGTAGTAATATGACATTCATCCAGTACTGGGTCATACTGGCCAAGACTGATACGACCAGCTCTAGCTTCCCCGCGTAGGTTAATAGTTTTGGCTGCCATCCAAGTATCCTTCTTGCAATTTTTTCAATCAACACTTTCCAATCCTCTGACGAAAGCTTGCCAGTATTTAATGGCAGGCCCAAGTATTTCACAGAAGATGTCCTTCCTTGAACCCCAAATTCCTCACTAACTCTTCCTTCAACCCCTCTGATACCCCTGCACTAAAGATTTCTCTTTTGCTCTGATTACACTTTAATCCTGATACTAGATATAACTTCTGAGGAATTTCAACTACAACTGTTACTCCCTCTGTTGACCCCTTTGTGAAAATCGGTAGGTCGTCAGCGAAACACAAGTGTGTGAGACTGATACGACTGCACTGAGGGTGGTAAGGTAGGATTTTTCGATCTACTGCCCTATTTAGCATACAACTTAGCACTTCCATGCTAATGTCAAACCAGTATGGGGATAAAGGGCACCCCTGCCTCAACCCTTTCTTTGCTTGAAACTACCCTGTAAGCCCTCCATTAATACACACGGTAAAACTAGTAGATTCGAGACAACCTTGCACCCAATTAACAAACTTTCCTGGGATCCTCATAGCAAGCATAATACAACTCAGATAATCCCAGTCAACACTATCAAAAACTTTCATTATATCTATCTTGAGAGCACAACTGGGAGAGATGTTCTTTCTTTTATACCATTTCACCATTTTGTTCGCAAGCACAATATTATCAGTTATCAAACGCCCTCTAATGAAAGCGGATTGATTAGGACTTATTATCTCAGGCAAAACTAGCTTAAGTCTGTTAGCTAGGATCTTAGATATGCATTTGTAAACAAAATTGTAGCAGGAAATCGGTCTGAAATTCTTCATTGAGTTGGCATTTTGTAACTTAGGGATGAGGGCAAGAATGGTGCAGTTAACTTCCCTTCTCATGGTGCAGTTGCAAAGAAGTCTTGAATAGCTTTGATGAATTATGCCCCTATCAGATCCTAGTGTTCTTGAAAGAATTCTACTGGATATCCATCAGGTCCTGGGGCCTTTCCCTTTTTCATGCTCATCGCCACCTTCTTAATTTCTCCTGCTGTAACCAAAGAACACATGTCCCCACTGACATCCCCCAAGTGCAGTTTCAGTAGTTGCCTTAAGGTGTCCACTGTAACTCTTTTCAACTGCATGTTCTGAGTCCCCAAAAGATTCTTATAGAACTACACCGCCTCTCTACCAATCTCCTCTATATCTTCCAAAACCTCTCTTGAATCAGTGACCAACTGCTTGATTGTATTCTTGGACTGTCTTGTTTTGACAACACTATGAAAGAACCTAGAATTGGAATCCCCACCATTTAGCCATTATTGTCTTGACTTTTGTTTTAGGAAGGACTCCTCAGCACGCTGAAGCTCCAGAAGCTAGACCATACACATCTGTTCAGCTTGAAAGACCGACGAGGCACGACGCTCCATCACTTCTAATTGAGCTTTTGCAAGTTCAACATTTTCCTGTTTCACCTTTTCATGTATTTCTGAGTAACACTCCCTATTTAGTCTTTTCAACCAAGCTTTAATATTCCGTAAGCGCTGATACATTCTAGCCATAGCCGAGCTAGTTACAGGGCAAAGCCAACCCTCTTTCACTAGATTGTCATATTCAGAATGTAGTTTCCAAAAATGAAAGTACTTAAATTGACGATGCAGAGTTTGGATCTGTGAATCCAAGTTAATGAGCAATGATCTGATAGACCGAGAAGCAGAATCTTGACTGAGCTTCTAGGAAATGCCTCCACCCAACCTTCTTAGACTAGTACACGATCGAATCTTTTAGCTATTGGATTGGCTGACTGTTTGTTTGATCAGGTAAACCATGGGCCCATTACCTTGTGATCTATCAACTTCATATCATCTATCCATGTTTTGAATTGTTGGGAACTTTCACCCAATCCACCTGAGTTAGAAGATTCAGTACCATCTACAATTGTATTAAAATCCCCTGCCACCATCCAAGGAATGACTGCATCAATCTTCTTTTTAAGCTCTAGGTACACTTGCTGTCTTTCCACAACCTCGTTCGATCCATAGGCAAATGTAAAATGAGTAGGCCTTCTACCAGACAGTAACCCATAGACGTAGAAACCATTGCTTTCTAACACCCTAAACTGTGTCTCCTTCCTCCATACTACTCATATTCTGCCTACTCCTGCAGCTGAGTAAGTATCTTTATACTCCCAACCTGGGAATTTCTCACAAATTATTTTCTCCACCTTATTTGAACTAACTATAGTCTCCAGAATCGCCACCATCTCCACCTTACACCTACGAACCAATTCAACTATATTCTCCTGTTTATCAGGGCTATTAAAACCCCTCTGATTCCACACTAGAACATTCATGACTTTACTGTATTTTTTGCCCTTTTCGGAGGCCGACCTGGTTTACCTTTCTTCTTGTTCTGGCCTTCTTTCCCCAATTCAGGAAATTGGGCAAGATCCTTAAGCGGTGATACTGCAATCTCTCCCACTTCAAACTGTGCTAGAGATGAAAGAACTTCAAAGGAATTGTCATTGGAGGAGAGACTACCTGTTGTAACTGCTTGCTGGAACTCATTGTCAGAAGGAAGCACACTGCTCTTCCAAGGAGTCCCTACAGTCAATGAAGAAGTCAGATTCTCCATAGCTCTCTGCAACCCAGAAACAGATTCCTCAGATAGTACTACTCTAGATCCAACTTCAGACTCCTTAACCCCAATAACAACACTTTCTGGCTCCCCATTTACTGCTTCTGCCTGAATCCTAACAACTGCGTCCGCACTATAGGGGTCTGAGCTTCCACATCATCTGCTGGTACCTCCTGAACTAGTACCTCCTCCTAGGCTTTCTCGTTCTCCTGTTCACAGTTGTGGCCAAATCTACAACACTTTGCACATATCTCAGGCTTATTGCACACATCTCCTCATGAAAACATTGAATTGTGTAAATTGAATGAATAATTTAAATAATTGATATAAATATGCTTTTGTTGCTTTACTTAGTAATAATACATATATTTCTATAATTTAAAAATAAATTACATTAATATAATAATAACGCTTTCATCATGCTCTTAATATCAGATCTTTAAAAACTAAACGCTATTTCGTTCTCACTTCGGCTTCACGAACTGGTTAGCTAACCAACAACCACAGCCACATGCTCATCCTTCGCGATTGAGGCGCGCGCCGTGTGTGGGCCCCGTTCTGGTGTTGCAATTTATATATCTCTCTCGTGCGACCGGTCCACTCAGCTAACATTTAGCTGGCCTTGCGCGGAAATTCAATTCGTCTGCTTTTCCATGGCGCTTCTTCAGCTTTGCGGCAGAGCGCCACGTCTCCTCCCTTCCCGCCACCGCTTCCCGGTCAGCGGCGTCTTTGACCGTCGGAACGTCCTTTTAGCTAGAGAGACGAAGTTCGAACTTTCTAACTTGTCTTTGAAGAATCGATTTGCTACTGCTCGCTTTGCTCCTTTGAGATGCGCTTCCGTCAACGGCTATTCGACGGAGAACGGAGCTGGGAGGATTGATGTTGACGGAGCACTAGGAGAGGAGGATGGAAATGAGGATGAGATGCACCAACGGATTCGGAATTTCATCGAGTTCCTGCCGTCAATTTTACCCGGGGGGAACTGGTGGAGCTTATCCGATGACGTCGACGTGAAACTCGTGGCGGAGCCGGTGACCGTGTGGAAGGCGCTAGGGCGGATGTGGCAGCTGGTGGCTCAGGATCGTTGGGTCATCTTCGCCGCGTTCTCCGCCCTAATTCTGGCTGCGGTATCAGAAATATCCATACCACATTACTTGACGGCGTCGATTTTCACGGCACAGAGCGCCGACGTTACGACCTTCCACAGGAACGTCCGGCTGCTGGTTCTGCTGTGCGCTACTTCCGGGATATGCAGGTCAAGGCGTTGTACGGGTTCAACTAGTCCCTCTATTTTCTCTGAACTGATAACAGTATTATTACATTCTAACTGGTGTGTGGCAGAGAATGCTGAATTCCTTTTTACTGCTTGTTTTTTGGTAAGCTCAGCGGGTTAAGAGGTTGCTGCTTTGGCATTGCGAATATGATCCTTGTGAGTTGTTTCTCTTAGCTTCAATTTCTGAACTTGTTCAGTAGTGCTGCCAATTGCCAAATGCCAATCCCTTTGAATATTTGAAACCGACATTGGTGTTTGGTTGGGTTCCTTGCCGTATTTGCAGGTGAAGCGGATGAGAGAAACTCTTTACTCTTCAGTTCTTCTTCAGGTATAGTTGTTAACGCTTCTTCTTCGGGGTTGCTCACGTTACTTGATGATATATTGCAGCAGTTTATTGCTACATCTTTTGCAGGATATTTCATTTTTCGACAATGAAACAGTTGGTGATCTGACGAGCAGGCTTGGATCAGATTGCCAACAAGTGTCTCGGGTTATTGGGAATGATCTTAACCTAATCTTGCGAAATGTTGTGCAGGTTTATGTTCTCTACTAATGTTTTCCAGCTGTCAGTTAGTGTCAACTTAAAGAAACCTATTCACAGTTTGTTGCTCTGCTCTAGGGTACGGGTGCATTGACCTACTTGCTGATCCTGTCTAGGCCGCTTGGTCTGTTTACAGTATTCATATGCTCAGTTTTAGCAGCTGTAATGACAGTCTATGGCATGTAAGATCTTTTTATTTCTTTCTTGAAGTAAGCTTGTCGTGGTTATCTTTTTTTTCTTTATATGAAGCCTAGCTTAATGAAATAGAGCCTTGTTTTGAGATGATGTACGAGGTTGAGAATGTGCTTGGTATAGTATAGTGGCGTGTGTTATAGCTGACTGAACTTCGAGGAGACTGGTTTGAACTACTGGCAGAAATATCTTGATTCTTGACAATGACTTTTAGCAAAGGTTTTTATTAATTAACAGTATAATTTTGCTCCAAGGAAACTCAGCAACCAATAACTGTGTGTTGAAGTGTGGCATGAATAGATGTTTCTTCTGTAGTGATTCCAATGCTACCTTGGGGTATTTTTGTTGGTATTAGGTATCAGAAGAAGGCAGCAAGACTAACCCAAGATTTCACAGCTTCTGCCAATGACGTATGATGGTATTCCTTAAGTTTAAGTTAAGAACCTAACTGATATGCTTGAGGTCGTGAATGGCATTGTCTTAACCTTGTGCAGGTGGCTCAAGAGACATTTTCTTTGATCAGGACAGTTCGTGTTTATGGAACTGAAATATTAGAACGTGAAAGGTCAGTCATAGTCAATTTTTTATCATCTTTATTCGGATTTCTAGTGCTTTAGTTGTGGCATCCATAAGGAAGAATGATCTGTGGTGGTAGACTTTTTAGGGGAGTTGAAGTTGCACCTACAGTACTGATCCGCTCTCACTCGGACAAATTTCCTTGAATTTCATAGGTACAATTTTTGGCTGGACAAATTGGCTGATATCAGTCTCAAACAGAGTGCTGCATATGGATTTTGGAACTTGAGCTTCAACACACTTTATCACTCTACTCGGGTCCGTCATGTCTTATATTGCAGTGTACCAAGTTGCACATTTCTAAATTGTGTGAACTCTCATTCGGTAGTCTCTTGCTGGGGGATCAGTTACCGTATGTTGAGCAACATATTTTGGTTTCTAGGTCATTGCTGTGTTATTAGGAGGCATGTCTATTCTTGCTGGTCAAATTACAGCGGAGCAACTCACGAAGTTCATATTATACAGCGAATGGCTAATATTTTCTACTTGGTGGGTGGGAGACAATTTATCATCTCTCATGCAATCTGTTGGCGCTAGTGAAAAGGTCTTCAAAATGATGGATCTCTTGCCAAGTGACCAGTTCGCGACAAAAGGCATGCTATTTTCATGCATGAATTATTTGATGATTGAATACTTCCTAAATGTGAACCTTATCAGTATCAGCTTTAATCTGACTTTCTTTAAAAATATTTTATTTTGATCTTAGAGGCACTATATCTAGCTAATTAGCTTTCAAGAACTTTTTTGATTCCCGCCATGCATTGCTATTTTGGGCTTTTTGCGGAAGTGTTAAAGATTGTCTTTGCAAGTAATCATGAAAATGCCTTACAAGTGATCATAAGAACCAAACAGGAAAGACTGCATGAGCTTGTCCAAAGTGACTACATTAGGTTGTTGTATCGATCAATTACTATATCTTGCCAGGATTCATGATTGTATGATAGAAAATAATGGCTTGATGAGATAATTTCTGAAACGTTGTTGAATGCAAATGTTGAAGCAAACTAGTTGTATTTCTGACCTTTTAAAAGCTGCTTGTTGCTATTGCAGGATCACAGCTACAAAAGCTGAAGGGAAGCATAGAATTCGAAAACATATCTTTCCATTATCCTTCTAGAGAGTCAGTATGGATGCTGCCTTCATCTCCAAATTGCACTCTGCTTCTGTTTCACTTTTATATATTCACTTATTTTTTCTCGGCTTTATCTTCTGTTTAGCATTCAGATCTCAAATTTACTCTGGTTGCTTTAGTTTTATCGTTTGCAAAATGAAATAAATTAACGTTTCGATACTTTAATAGGTGCAGGTACTGCAACATGTAAACCTTACCGTACATCCTGGGGAAGTGATTGCAATAGTAAGTTTACCCTTACTTCCATGTTGTTCATTCCTCCTACATGTAACCAAAATAATGTGTTTTGACTTCCCATAGGTTGGTCTTAGTGGTAGTGGGAAAAGCACTCTGGTGAATTTGTTACTCCGCCTGTATGAGCCAACAACTGGTCAGGTAAAATCTCTTACTATTTTTTGAATTTCTCATCCATAAGACGTCAAGATTCTTAGTCCATGCTGCTGTAGAAGTTTGTTCAAGGTAGTTGGCTGAAGATTTGTATCTGGCATTTATCGTATCCCTTAAGAAATCACTGTAATATCCGAAGTGATGGCTTTATGAGAAAGAAAATGCTAAGTTATGTTACTCAAAACCATTACTATTCTCTTAGATAAACGTCAATCGCTGTTTTGAAGTGAGGTTCAGATATCCCTGTTACTGCCATTCATAGTCTGTCAGGGATGAAAATTTTATGGCTGTAAAACTTATCTCTTCCGTCTTCTGAAATCACGCATCAGTTTCATCTGTCCTTCATATTTGTCAATAACTACAGATTTTGATTGATGGCATTCCCCTTCAAGAACTGGACATCAGATGGTTTAGGGAAAGAATTGGGTATGTTGGCCAGGTTAGTTCTTCATCCTAAACGTAACACACATTTTTGGAGTCTCGGGAATTAGCTTCTGCTTACACCAGTTCTATTGAAGCAGGAACCCAAACTCTTCCGCATGGATCTGAGTTCAAACATAAGTTACGGATGTCCAGGAGATGCAACCCAGGAGGAAATCGAGCATGCTGCTAAGGAGGCATATGCTCATGACTTCATCTCTTCATTACCTAATGGCTACAAAACCATTGTTGATGATGATTTGCTCAGCGGAGGTCAGAAGCAAAGAATTGCTATCGCTCGGGCTATTCTCAGGGACCCTACGATTTTGATCCTTGATGAAGCCACAAGTGCACTGGATGCCGAGAGTGAGCACAATGTTAAGGTACAAGTCTCTCTAGTACCCAAGCATGCCAATGGTGAACTAGATGTAGAAATTTGGAAACACGAACTTAATTTTCTGTTTTTGACCACCATGTGTAGGGAGTCATTCGTTCCCTTAGAAGTGACTCAATGTCAAGGAGAACTGTCATAGTGATCGCTCATAGGTAATCGATCTATTATCTGTATATATACCCTTGTGTCGAGACATCATAAATACTCAGTTTGATTCCTTTGGTGCCAGGCTCTCAACCATACAAGCTGCTGATCGCATTGTCGTTATGGGTAATGGTCAAGTTATCGAGGTTCGTTACTTGTGTATCTTAGTTACCATACGCTATGCTCTTCGTTCATAAACCTGACAGTGAATCCCCACCTACTTGTTTCAGATGGGGAGACACAAGGAATTGCTGCTTAAAGATGGATTGTATGCTCAATTAACCAGAAGACAAGCCGACGCAGTGGCCTAATTCCAAGTTGTGCAGATTACTCCCGTTGGTGCACTGGCATAGCAAATTAAGCTGTCTTGAACAAGCCTTCTTTACCTCCTATGGTCGTACTACAGAGGTAAAAAGAGGCATTTCCGAAGTAAATGTAAAATGTGTTGGAAGTAAGAAGCACAATATTAGCGGAAGGTATGTGAGGGATCCAAATTGTATCCTTCACTAGCTTTGAACCCGGTCAAAGCGATCTTTTGAAGATAATTTAGTTTGTCTTAAACACACATGAAATTTTTGTGTATTATGATTCTACAAAACTAAATGTTGTTATTGTCAGTAACTTAGTAGAATAAGAAATGTGTCTTGTAAATTATGGTAGTGCATGAGTCATTTGATGGGATATAATTTAATGATATTGATTAAGTGACTACACTGTCGAATTTGATGATGATCATATTTTTTGAATCCTTTTTTCCAGCATATATTAAAATGAATATCATTATGTAGCTCACACAAAATCTGATTTTTTGAAGCACACATATATGAATTTGTAGTTCAAACGAAATAAAAAAATATCAATTAAAATAGTAGAGGAATTAAAAAATAAGAGAAAGAATGTGCTAGGCGGCACATACTAATTGAATTACTGAATTAAAAAATAAGAGAAAGAATGTGCTAGGCGGCACATTCTAATTGGATTACTGAGAAACTAAAAATAAAACATTAATTCCTTTGAAAATTGTAATAAAAAGTAAACTAGTCTTTGAATTTGGACGGTAAGATCTAGGAAAGAAAAAATAATAAATGAAAAAAAAAAGAGTTAACAAAAAATAATATTTGTGTGAAGGATGCTGACGTGAAAGCATAGGAAGTCAATTTGAAGTGATAAAATATAACTGAAGAAAATGCTTATTATATATATATATTTTTTTAAAATAGATATATAAATAGATTTCCCCCTCAAAACATTAATTAATCAATCAAACATACTTGAGTCTATATTTTATTATTCAAGCAACTCAGAGCAATCCTCCCTTAGATGTCCCATATAAGCCTTATAACACAAGTCATGTTCTATTTTGAATTAATGTCATGTTGATGTCGATTATCAATCGCTAGTGCTTTTATGGAATTGGTGGAAATACATTGGTATGAGTTGTACAAGCCTTCAGCCAACTAACTTTCTCCCTATAAAATGAGACTAAGAAGACAAGGAGAAACTATCCCAACAGGCAACAAGCATTCTTTTCCCTATTTGCCATTCTATCTCTAGTACCCATGTTATTATTTGTGTTCAAGATATCGAATAAAAGCAGCGTTACTAATTCTCTTCTACTTCGTATTTCAATGGTATTGCTTATTCTTATTTTCGTGATAATTATTTATAACATGTTATCAACACAAATTTTCTATGTACTCATGATCATACCGATTTGAGCCTACTTTGGAAGTAGGAGTTTTTACCATTACCATGATTGTTCTATGTGCTCAGTCTTATGCCGATCAAAGTCAACTCCTGAAGTGGATGCTTTTATCGTTATCACGATTTTTCTATGCACTCAAAATTTTGTCGATCAGAGCCAACTTAGAAAATAGACGTTTTTTAACGAAATTTTTTACCCACCCAAGATTCTATTGATCAAAGATAACTATGAAAGTAGAAATTTTAACGGTAGACACGAAGATTTTGTCCGCCTAAGAAATTGACAATATGTAACTAGCACGATTGGATTGCATTCCTAAGATTTATATTCCTGACGGATATGTTAAGCTCCCATATGTGATATGTTGTAACTATCGATTCCAAAGAAATGCATGTCCTCTAGATTAAAAGGAGCTAAGAATAAAGATGCTCTTATGATGATGATTTTGTAATCATATTTAATCTCTAGGTGTTATAATATTGGTCTAGAAGAACCAAATGTACCTGATTGGGAAAATGAAAAAAAATCTCAATAAAAAAAAATCTTGAATGGAATTTGAAGGAATCGAACAAAATTTATCATTGACAATAAATTTTTATATATTGTAACGTGCAATATGATAAATAATATGATAAATGAACATCATGAAGTTAGATTAATTTATCATTAAGAAGTGATTGACCAAATTATAATGATGCATTTGAGGCATGTATAAACTTGCATGCAACGTAACAAATTTTGAGAGTTTTACTTCACTCAATTTCTACTGTGACTACTATCCCAACCGTGACAAAGTGCAGCCACAATTTGGTGCATTATAGTAAAACTAAAGTGAAATTTAATATAAATCAAGGAGGCAAATGTATTATTACTTCGCGGACCACCTTGTTATCTAGTGAAGACCGAGGAAAGTGATCTAATCTACGTAATTGGATATTCTCTACCTTAGGTTAGTAGCCATAATTGAGAAGATTAGACCAATAGCCAACACAATTCGTGAAATACCTCAAATCAATATATAATCTTTTGTTAATCAAACAAGGAAATCAATAAGTGATTTAATATAACACATACAACTAGAATTCTCCAACACTCAAGTGTTAGAACTGAAGTGTTGGGTTCCTGATGAGAGAGAGAAATACACAAATTAAGAGAAGAAAACATCCTAGAAGGTCGGGTTCTTGCTCTTGCACATTGACCTTCAACCCTTGGTGATGGATTTGAACTCTAATTGTCATTTGAAGCTCCAATTCTCAAACTAGGGATCTCCTTAATTAAATACGGATATCAAACGTGTTATACGGGTTTTATACGTGTTCAGTACGGAATCCATCAACTGAACGGAAAAAGATGAAACGGCTTGACAATAATAAAGATACAGAAGTTTTAAACGGATAAATTACGTACGAGCACATATACGTGTATTAAACAAAATATTTACTAACTATGTTGATATCACGGTTGGCGGCCCGTGACAAGTTCAGTAGCCCAATCGACTTCGGTCTCCTAGGATCCATGCAATTATCTGGAATAATTATTTATAATATGTTCCACATTTTAAGATCTCGAAGTTTTCCCATGATTTCTATTATCCCAGTGTTTATGTTTTTTCCTCATTGTACACTGAAACTATCAATAAAACAGTTTTTTTTTATAATGGTGATAGAAATGTATTAATCAAGAGACACAAGAACAACAATACACTGTCCGAAATCGGTAATAGTTCAGAAGAACTGAACTAAACACCGCAACACACACAACTGAAATAGAAACAAAAAGGAAACAAAAACAAACTAGCAACGTGGACCAGACCACCCCCGCTAGGGATCACATCACCACATATCAGTTAAAAACAAAGACAACATGGCTAGTTGGGCAGAACCAACCCTGCCATCCAAAGTACACGAAACCCCCAGTAGCAGGGAGCAAGCGCCGAAAAAGCAGCAATCTGCAACACAAGACCCGCTAGCTCACCAGGAACAACACGTCCTAGACAGATCTGCACCTCCAAATAAATAGATCAAAAGACCACTGCCCACCTAAAACTTAATGCACAATTGATCCTTCCACAGCGAACACAAAAGCCAATCTGCATCCTGCAGCAACCAATCGTTCAAACCAAATACTGCCCACCACTAATCGACACACACGATCCAACGAGAACCAAGGCAGACACCAACAAACTGCCACCAACAGCAGCATGCTCCATAAGTGAAACCAATACAGACATTGCTAATATAGGCCCCAAGAAGTACCTGTCAACTCAACCTGCCAAAAAATCATCGCACCACCCTAAACCGAGAACTCCACAAAAAGGCATCACCTTCCAGCAGACCAAACTCCTCCTCGACAACAACACGTCTCTAGAAATTGAATCCCCTCTACCTCAACCAACTTGTAGCCATGTCCCTATGAAATTTCCCATGAGCCACCATCCATTCCATCGATTTCTTCACCGCTTTCCTAGCCACTAGAGAAGAAACGTTACTCTTTATCTTCGAAAATCCTCTGGTTTATTTCAAGCCATACGAACCACCACACGACATGAAGTAAGCATGAAACAAGCCACTCCTCCATGTTGTCCAAATCTTCACTAGGCCAATTTTTAATAGTCGTCACTATCCTAATTCAGCAAGGAAACTAAATCAAACAAGTAATCCGTATCCAACTCCGAATCCTAATGGCTTGCGGATTGTGGCAGCGCGAGATAGCATCTTCGAGGATCTCGCAAATGATCTTCCTAACCTTGGCAATCTCATCCAATGCCTTCTCGTGGTTTAGAAATTGTTCCTCTTTCATCCTCAACTGGATCCAGAAGCTGGTTGTACCCCAAACTCCAGGAATTGCGTCCCAAAGTCAGCACCTCGAACACGCTAAATGAATTAGCCAAAAACAGACAGTTTTCCGATTCTGAGAAAGCATCTCGGTGAGCTTTGAAATCAACCTTCTGGACTTCCCCTTGAGCCACCAAGCACTTTTCGTTGAAGAAGACATCCTTAGCTTCAAAACAAGCTATTAAACACACATTTTCATAGAGCCAATCTTTTGATCCACGCCTTCCAAATAGGTAACCTGAAACAACAAAAACACTTAACCAATTTTCAGGTTTGTTGTTGTGTATTGAACTAGCTTCTTGATCAATCCATGGAAGCTGAAATGGTTTGTGATTTGGGATCATATCATCCTCCCCGGCCGAGTTCAACCCAAGTCTGAAAAATGATCTTCCACACATTTTTCACATAAGCACAATCCATGAATAGGTGAACACTTGTCTCCTCCTTTTGCTAACACATAGCATACCTATTCGCCAAGATCCAACTTTTTTCCAGATTGTCCACAGGAGGAACCTATTATGATACACTAACCACAGGAAGAAACACACTTTGCTCGGAATTATTCTTCTCCAGACTTGACATGTAGGAAACTCTTGCACACCTCCAAGATCATTTCTGAGCAGTTGCTTATATAAAGATCGAATAGAGAAACGCCCATCTGACTCAAGAGTCCATGTCCTCCTGCAAGGACTAACGAAATTCCGATAAAATTCAACTGAACACAATAACGGATTAAGAGCAACCCTCTCCCTCTCAGCCCCACCCCTTAAAGAATATTTAAAATTAAAATTCCAGTTAACAACCTCACTAGAAAAATCAGCAATGTCAAAAATAGGAGCTTCCGGTTCAACAGCAGCATCGGAGAGGCGGGGTAACGAGGCAGCTAGGACAGTCTCGGGATCTAGCAGTCATGCCAAAATGATATCATAGTACCATTCCTCGGTTCCAACCAAGCGAACTTCTAGAAAAGGCTGTTTTCTTTGCTGTTTGCCCAAACTAATTTGCAGAATCCCCCTTCGCACTTCCCGTCCGCCACATAGATGAATCATTGAGGTACTCGTAGGAAATCAATTCCCGCCACCATGTGTCCCTCTTAACCTTATACCTCCATAACCATTTAAACAACATTGCATCATTGAAAGCTTTGAGATCATGTATACCAAAGCCTCCTTCATCCTTCGCAACTTTGCACTTCTTCCAATCCATAAGAACCATCTTGAACCCCTCAGCCTTCCCTTTCCATAAGAAGTTTCTTTGACATTTTTCCAACTCTTTGATCAATGACATTAGAGCTTTGA